AAAAGCCGACGGGAAGAGGGTGGCGGGGGGGTGGGGGGCGGCGGGAGACCATCGATTGTCTTGCCCTCCTGCAGCCGAACTCTATCTTGTGTTTATTTGGCATTTTCTTTTTGCAGACACCAGTTCCATCACAGATCACAGAATCTGCCCCCTGCCCGGCCCCCGCCATCAGATTTTTAACATTTTAATTGTTATTTACTCCAAGAATGTGGAAAGTTTCCATTTAAGGATCTTCTATCTTTCCCGCTAAACTCAAGAGAAGGGAAAGGGAATCAAGAAGTCTCTAGCACTTAGCAACTCCTCACATTTGTTCTTTGCCCCTTCAAACACAAGCACTTTGGTTTTAAAGCTCTTCAAAGGGAGGAGTCCACAACTTCCACAGTAGCTCCTGAGGGACCCAAACTGAAAGTTTGCCTTCTTGTGTTGGGATTGCAGAGAACACAGGAAAGCTACTAGCAAAATGTTTATTCCTGCAAAGTACTTGTTTCTTCCAAAAGTTCCACCTCCAGTAACTGCCATAGGGGTAATTTGAACTCTATGGTCTATAAAATGTCCAACACATTAAAGACACAAAACTAACATTTGTTTTTATTCATGCAAGGAATTAAAAACAAAAAAAAACCACAGCAAATATCAGTTTCCTACAAGTAGTATAAAATAACCTCTTGAGGAATCTTTGTGACCAAGACTCCAAGTTGAAAGAGTGCCATCCATGGATTTCCCCAAATTTAGAATTCTGTCTGAGTGAGAGTTTTTTTGGTCTTTCTCATCATTAATTGACAAAACAGTTTTCTCTTACAAATATAAAAGGGCTCCTTGTAAAATGCTTAGTAAATTTCTGGGAAGCTGAGTGTTTCTTCTAGAGGGAAGGGTACCTGGAAATCCGGGTGTAAGCAAGATTAACCTGAAGCTACAGCTTTCTTAAAATACATGGATTCTGGGAGAAGGAAATAAGTGGTCAGGAAAGTATTTTGTCCACTAAAACCATGATAGTTTGATATATTTACTGTACTCAAAATACACTAGAATAATATACATATGAGAACTTGGAGGACTAAAGTCCACCAACTTTTTACAAGAAACTTTTATATTTCATTCTCATAGAAATGTAATTTGTTTAAGGAACTGTTATATTTCTGTCTCACATCCAAAAATATAATCATACCTGACTGAATTTTATGGGAATGCTTGGGAGTTTTCCCTTTTACTTAAAAGTTGGGTTTTGTTTTTTAACTTTGGAGTTGGAGACATTTTCTTAGTTAAGATAACAGGGCTTGCTACAGTATTCTTTCATTATCAAATCCCTTGTAACTTTGTAAGTCTATTATCTCTAACAGAGGAGATAATTAAATCATCAAGACCACACAGACTCTGTCTAACTCAACTGACGAGACTCATTTTGGACTTATCTAGGAATTCCATTTTGACAGGCTTAGTTCTTCTTCAGTAACCAGTATCCTTCTACTTGTAGGAAATATCCTTGGATTTGTTTTTTTTTTAAAATCTGTATTCAGAAAGGGCGATGTGACAGAGGGAACCTCCGAAGATAGAAAGTAGATTCCTGTTTGCCTCTGACTGGAAACAACATTTATCTACCAATGGACACGAGGAATCTTATTAAGGATAATGGAAATAGGTGTTCTAAATTGGAGTGGCAACTGCACAATTTGGCAAACATTTCTAACACAAGGAGTTTCACACTTAAAATGAGTGACGTATAGTATGTAAATTACACTTCAGTAAATTTTTTAAATAAAGAATTGATTTAAAAAATAGTATTTATTTCGTATGCATACCATCTCCCAATTTTGATTTAAGGACTCACTCCCAAGTGGCAGCAACATACACAAGGCGTCCTCCTTTCTTCATTTTTCTAAGAGGAAGTTTGCCTTAAACACAGTAGGGGATTCTTTCTTCGCCACCAGTAACTGCTTATGAAACCTAGTGTTTGTGTGACGGCATGGAGGAGGGAGAGACAGACCCGGCATGGAGGAGGGAGAGACAGACCCGGCATGGAGGAGGGAGAGACAGACCCGATCTTTTTTTAGGACCCTGCCTTGTTTCTCTTTTCAATTACCATGGTGATAGGATTTCCCTAGTGTGTCAAACAATTTGAATTTTCAGTAACAACAACAAAAAAAGCACATGGGTTTGTGCGGGGGGTGAGGAGGTGTCATTTGGATGTTTTATTACTGGAGAAGCTTAATGAGGACCATGAACACTTATGGAAATCTGAATCAAATTGACTTTGTTCAAGTCGAAGATTAGAGATGGAGACATGTGGTTCAGCATAAAAACAATTTCTCAGATCTATTTAGAAGGCTTGAAATTAAAACAATTTAAGGGACAAATTTTAAAAGACATATTTCCAAGTGAAAAGTGAGTTTGTGTTATTAACACATTATAAACCATCCTCCTAGCCAAAACTGAAAAACAAAATCTTATCCCTGATAAGGAATGACTTAAAGACACCAAGGGTTACAGTAAATGTTACAGTTTAATGTTAAATGTGAATGTCAAATACTAAATGTTATATTTAGATGTCACATTTACACGGGGGTGGGGGGATGGGGGGGTTGTTTTTCCTGAAAACCTTTGGCTTTTATAGTGCTGTTAAGTATTTCAGTCCTTCCAGAAGGGAGGCCATTGATTGTGGGACTTCAGTGTTGAGAGCTCATAGTATCTTCAAAACTTTTATGTCTTCTATGGGTAGGTGGGAATGGAGATAACTTAGGGTAGTTTTGTTTCTTATCTTGATTTTTTTTGGCATAGAATTCTGCCATTCTTCTCCTGAAAACGGCCAACTTTGCAAAAAGGCTGCTCAATAAGGCCAGGTGTGAGAAGGAAAAGCACACTGGCCTGTGTGTCACCCTCTGGGCGGGAAGTCCGAGGGTTTGTCTAGAACTGACAGGGTGCCTGCAACTAGGGAGAAAATACTTGATAAGAGATTTCAATTATGCTTTAAAAGCTAGCCAGGTTTCACCCATGAAGCATTTTGTTTATATTTTAAGTTCCTGTGGTTTTTAATCAGCACTTGGCATAGCCTTAATCTATGGCTTGAGCTTCTTCACGGGAATACTCTTTTCTCATTAGAGTGATGTAACTCCCAAAAGGCTTTGTAAAGGAGTTTAATTCCTCCAGTAAAATGGAACTAACTGCCGTGCAGCTGGCACACTTAACCAAAGTGTGTTAGAGAACATTTTAACTTTCCAAGAAAGGTAACAGTTGGGAAATTTTCATTTTTGTATGCTGTTGCTCCTTTTAAAATTTTTGCTGTATTATATGTTGGCAGCATTGAAGGTCCTATTTGTTTGTCTGAAAGGTAGAAACATTTTTTTTAAGTTTAAATGATTTTCAGAATTTAAATTATTTTATATCCTCTTTACATTCATTCACATACTGTCAACTTCTCCTGTGTAGCTAATCATGACGGTTGAGTCAGCCGCTCAAAAACAACCATAGGCATTATCTCTTAAATAAACTCCGCTAACAAGGGCAACTGTGATACCAGCTGTCGGTAGTCATGCTTTGTGTCTAAATAATTAATTTAGTAGCTATAATAAATTAAGCATATATTCAACTGAATCATAAACATGGAAGCACAAATATAATTACATCTAAATTCATACTGAATCGTTTTCTAGATACATTTTATATATGCTTTCATTAGCTATGAAACTTTTACTGAGATGGAATGGACACTTCCATTCATTATTAGTTTAAATGTGAAAAACTAAGACATTGCCTAAATGTATGCACATTTAAGCAGTCAGAAAGCCATAAAGATTTCAGTACCTAAATAGAAATAATTAAATTAGATTTTATTAAGTGCTTACTCTGAGCCAGACCCAATACTAAGTACTTCATATACGGTTTTTTATTTAACCATCAGCAACCTGTTAAGGTAAATACTATTACCCTTTCATTCTTACAGGTGAGGATATAAGGAATAGGAAAATAATTAAAACAAAGTTTTGTAAGCCTTAGTCTTGTAGAAATTGTGATACTACAGCAGATACCGAGAGAGTGTTATCAAGGGATTAAACCATCATCTCTTTGTGGCATGAAGGTATGGGAAAAGTA